ACCTCTGTATGTAGGACATCAGTCACTTAAGCTAATGTGTGTACCACTCCCCTCCGAACTGAACTGAGGCATCTAACCTGAAAGATGCCTAAAGTCACCAGTTATTCTAAACTTGGAACCACCTTGTACTTCAGAACAGCTGAGCATTGCTTGCCACCAGGGGGCACTGGTTCACTATAGAGAGGACTCCCGAAGTAGGCACAGTCCTGCTTGTCCCACCAATAGACAAGGATTTCTTCAGGCCACTTGGCAGAAGCAGAATTCAGGCAGTGATTAACCATACCCCACCCTGCTTTTAATTATACATAGCTTGCTACTCCTGGCCCCTAAACATGGACTGAGATCACTGGACCCTTTTATCTTTCTCATAAATTAAAAGTAAATAAATAAATTTGATTGTTCATTGTGTGTGGTTTTTCGAGACAGCTTTTCTTCTGCATAGCCCTGGCTGTCCTGGAACTCGCTCTACAAGGCAACCAGGCTAACCTCAAACTTGGAGATCTGCCTGCATCTGCCTCCCAAATGCTGGGATCACAGGTATACATCACATGCCCAGGCTCAGACTTTAATATACCAGAGGGAACAAAGCAGCCCGGCTTAAAATGTGGTCTTTCCCAGCATCATCTTCAGTCTCCCCTGCACTGTCATCTGACAGACTGCAGGACTGTGAGAAATCTCTTCCTGGGAGATCAGAGATAGGCTTCCTTGCTATTCCTCCTAAACCGGGTTGGAATTTTTCCAACTCCGGCATTACGTGCCGCCCACCAGTACTCTCCCTCCTCCACAGAAACTGTAAGCATTGGAGGAGCCTTTTATTTATGTGTTTATTAAGATTTATCTTCAGCGGTTTCCTTGCATGTAGGTGTATCCACCACCACATACGTGCCTGGGCATGAAGAGGTTAGAAGAGGCCATTGGGTCTCCCGGAACTGGACAGTTGTAAGCTACCACCTGGGTGCTGGGAACTGAACCCAGGTCCTCTGAAAGAGCAGCAAAGCAAAGGCTCATGAACACCGAGCCATCTTCCCAGGCCCCTGCTTTGTCTTTTAGTGTTCATTTCTTCTTGCAAAATCATGGAAACTCTATAAAACTATTTTTATTCCAGTACTTTACAATGCCAGGAACAGATAATTCGCCTTTTCTTTTATTCTTTCCTTCTTTTTTGTAGTTTTTACTTATTTATTTTTTCTTTCAGTATAGTGCTTTTTGTTTGGTTGGTTTTTTTGTTTGTGTTTTGTTTTTGTTTTTTTCAAGACTGGGTTTCTCTGTATAGCCCTGGCTGTTCTAGAACTCACTTTGAAGACTAGGCTGGCCTCGAACTCAGAAATCCTCCTGCCTCTGCCTCCCAACTGCTGGGATTAAAGGTGTGTACCACCACTGCCTGGCCACCCACCACTGCACAGCAGTATAGTGCTTTTTTTTTTTGGTTTCTTGAGACAGGGTTTCTCTGTGTAGCCCTGGCTGTCCTAGAACTTATAGTGCATTTTAAAGGTTTATTTTATTACATGTAAGCAGGGTTTTTTTTGTATCCATGCATTGTACATGTGTGCACCACAGACATGTCTGGTACCTTTTAAAAGGTCAAGAGAGGGCCTCAGATTCCCTGGAGCCTTGAAGTTACAGACAACATTGTGAACTGCCATTTGGGGGCTGGGAATCCAGTCTGCTGCAAAAGCAACCACATGCTCTTAATGGCTCAGCCCATTCTTCAAGTCTTTGGACGTTACTTGAATTATTATTTTTTGAGACAAGTTCTTACTATCTGTAGCCCTAGCCGTCCTGAAACTTGCTATGTAGGTAAGGTTAGTCAAGAACTCAGAGATTTGCCTGCCTCTGCTGGCCTTGAGCTCACAGAGATCCACCTCCTCTGCCTCCTCTGAGTGCTGGGACTAAAGGAACTGACCACAGTGCTCAGCATGAGTAACATCTTAAGACAAAAAACAACTTTTATTTATTTATAATGAATATGAGTGCTTTTCCTGAAAGCACATATAGATATATGTGTGCACAGTAACCCCGCTGTGAGAAGAGCGTGTCAAAGCTCGTGGAACTGAAGTTACAGATGGTCATGAGCTGCCATGTGGGTTCTGGGAACAGAACCAGGAGTCTCTGCAGGGGCAGCAACTGCTCTTAGTGGGTGAGCCGTCTCTCCAGGCCCCAAATGTCCATGTTTTGAAGTAAAGACAAAATGGGCAATTATGGGCTAAGATACTTTGGGTCAGTTAATATCTTATATTGGGGGGTTTCTGGGGGGAGTGAGACTGGGTCTCTACATAGACTCTCCTGGAACTCCCCATGTAAAACAGGCTGGCTTCGAACTCACAGGGAACTGCTTGCTTCTACCTCTGAGTGTTAAGATTAAAGGTGTTCACCACCACAGCTCCTCCAGTGATTTTCAAACTTGTTTTTCTTTTTAAAAAAAATTATTTATTTTATATATATGAGTGCGCCATCCCTGTTTTCAGACACACCAGAAGAAGACATCAGATCCCATTACAGATGGTTGTGAGCCACCATGTGGTTGCTGGGAATTGAACTCAGAACCTCTCAAAGAGCAGTCAATGCTCTTAACCACTGAGCCATCTTTCCAGCCCCAAATTTGTTTTTACAGATAGCTTTACTATATTTGGCCCAGGTTGGCCTTGAACTTCAGAATCTTCTGCCTCAGCCTTCCCAGTACTGAGATTATAGGCCTGTACCGCCGTGCCTGTGCCTACCCTTTATTTATTTATTTATTTATTTAATTTATTTATTTGCTCTTTTTTTATTTTTATAATTTTGTGTGTGGTGTGTGTATGTATGCATTTGATTAAAGGTCCCTGAAGACATCCAAAAGTGGGTGTCCAATTCCCTGCGTGTGGAGTTATGGGAGGTTGTGAGCCTCCTGACATGGGTGCTGGGAACCAAATTTAGGTCATCTGCGATGGCTAATAGTTAAAGCATCTCTCCGGCCCCAGTGCTTTGGAGACGGAGTCTCCTGTTGTCTCAAACTGCCTATGTAGTTGAAGCTGCACTTGAACTTCTGATTCTGAATTTCTGATACTGTGTCCTCTTCTAAGTGCTGGGATCATAAGTATGTCCCACCACTCCCAGATCAAATTCTCCCCGTCCATGACATGGTCTCAGGTATCCCAAGCTGGCCTTGAACTTCTGATCCCACTGTCTCAATCTCCCAAGTGATAGGGTTAAATGCGGGCACCACTATACTCCCTGGGACTTGAATCTGCCTTCTTATTGTGTTCCTTACAAAACCCGGTCACACAACGCTTGCAATCTACGTGGACTGTTGTTGACCCACCCGCAGCTGAACTTGACAGACTGAGACGCCTTAGATGGCCTGAGGGCTGTAGCTGGGACTTACCAGACCATACCAAGTCCAGGTGGGTCCACAAGGACAGTGGTCCAGCCACGGCTGCAGGCCTTTAGCCTAGGACCTGCACCAGGCGCCTCTCACTAGAGCAGCCCATAGCTCTAAGCAGTGCGAAGGCCTAAAGAGGCCGAGAGCTCACGGTCCCAACATGCACTACGTGCCTCTTACATCACTACAGAGCGGCTAGAAGCGTCAAAAGCAGTCGGTTGCCAGGCAACAAGGCAGCAGCTCTGAGCTCCCAATCAACTGCTAGCTTTTGGCTGAAAGCGGGGGGGTGGGGGGGGGGGGGGGGGGGGGGGAAGGAGAGGCACGTGGGTTTGAGTCTTGTGAGTACAGTTTATTTTTTTCTTTCCTCTTTCTCATTTTCTCTCCCTTCTTCTCCCTTTCCTTCCCCTAACTTTCCCTTCTGTTGTCCCACCTCCTTCTCCTTCCTATCGTTTTCCCCCATCCCTTTTCCTAGCTTTTGGATAGGCAGACTGGCCAATGGAGCCAGGAGGAAGCCAGCCAGCCAGCCAGCCAGTGTGTGTCTCTCCATCTTCCCCAGAAAGTGTGTCTCTTGCTTCTGCCTTGCCTTCTTGCCTTTAGACTGACAGTGGCTGGATCGTCCATCCCTCTTGTGACTAGGCTTCCGGCTTCTTGCATTGGAGCAATACATGCGTTCCCTGGCTCCTCAGTGTGCAGCTAGCCATTTGGGGATTATCTGACCTCTGAGGATGCAAGCAGGGCAATGAATCCCCCCTTCAAATATCACATACACTTTGCTGCCGTTTAATCCCTCTCAACCACCATGGACTTTTACCATTCTTCAATATACCCCCGCCCCCATGCTAGGCGATCACTGCCCCAACCACGCCACACCCCTTTTTCTAGGATACCGATTTCCAGTACTACACTGTGTATGTAGCCCTGACTACTCTCAAATGTATCATCCTCTGCCTACGCTTCCTAATGCCAGGATTACAGGTGTGCATGGGCCTTCTTCCTCCACACTCCTATTGTCTGCAATGCTGCAAGCAGAAACCACAGCTCTTGGTAGGCAAGCACTCTACCATTGAACTACACCTTCAGCTTACTAACCGATGTTTAATTAATTGATTAAAAATTAGTTATTTTTAAATGTGTACACATACTTGTCTGAACACACACCAGATGTGTGCATGGAGGTGCGGAAGCTAGTGTCGGATTCCCTGGAGCTGGACTTACAGGCAGGTGGGAGCTGCCTGGTGTGGGTGCTGGGAACTGAATCCAGGTCCCCAGGAAGAGCAGCAAGTTTTAAGTGCCAACCTTCTCTCTAGCCCCTCTTTGTATTTTTTCCCCCAGTATTTGCTAAAAAGGAGAAAGCAGAAGCAGGAAAATCTCTGGGTTCAAGGCCAAGTTGGTTTATAGAGCCAGTTTCAGGACACCCAGGGCCACATAGAGAAACCCTGTAATGTATATATCTTATGGGTATATGTGTGCACCTGAGTATATGCATGCATACCACATAGATGCAGGAGCCCAAGGTCGGAAGAGGTTGTCAGATACCCTAGCACAGGAGTGAAGGATTGTGAAGCGTCATTCAGACCCCAATGTATATCAACACAGAAACAAGAAGCTGGAGGCCAGTCCTCAAGGGCACTCTGATCGACCCTTTATCACCAGCGTTCGCCACAGCCAGGCTGACATATTTATTGGAAAAAAATTGAAACCACAGATGCAATGCATTATACAAAGAAAGGTCTTCATTCCATAATAAAAGTCCTGTGGGGGAAGGAAACAAGAGCCGGTGGCTACCTGCCCTGGGAAGGTAGGCACTCTGTGAAAAGTGAAATTCACTTATAGGGACTACTCTTAATGGAAAACGGTAGAAAGGGTTAAAAACAGAAGGGAGCGGGCATAAACAAACAAAAATCAACCCCATCCCTGCACAGTTTGAGAGTTTGTTATAAGCTTGAGACATTTAGGTTATCACCAAGATTTAACCAGATTCCTCGGTTTGTCCCTAGAGTGGTAATCAAGTTTAACTTAGGGTCTTCAAACCTGAGGTAGTTGAGGGTCACCTGAAATACACATCTGGAAGGTTCTATCCTCACAACTGGATCCAGTCACACCTAACCAACTGTTCCTGGCTTTAGCTCCTGGGAGAGGAAGCACTCCATTACTGCGTTTGCTGGTCCTGTGTTTGGGCTGGACTTGGGAGCCAAACAGCTCTTCTGGATCACTGGTGATGGCTGGCAATTGCTGTCATGGTGGTTTCCAATGTTACCGACAGTGTGGTCTCTGAGGACCATTAAGGTGGAAAGAGTGCAAAGCCACTCTGTTTAGAAGGCCAACGTGGAGGAACCAAGATGGCGGAGAGAGGGCAAAGCCACTGTTTGGAAGGCCAATGTGGAAACACCATGATGAAGATCGACCAAAGCTCATCCCTTTTGGATGCCAACTTGGAAGATGATCCAAGTTGGTAGAGAAAGCACAGCCCGCTCTGGTTGGAAGGCTACTACAGATGACCCAAGACGGCAGAGGGCAGGGCCGTTCTTATTGGCAGGTCCATGTTGGGCTCACAGACTTGCTTTCAGCAAGGTCTCCAGAGAGATGGAAAGGCAACTGAGAGTAGCACATTTGCCAGCTTTAAAAATGAGGGTCAAACAGTGCCAGAGACCCTTCTACAACCAAGTCACTGACCAAGAAGTAAAACCTCCCCCAGACACAAGATGAGGACTAACACCTCCTAAGATGAGAGGCCATAGCACCCTAATGTGACCAGAATGGCAAGTACTTGTGACCCTGGGTTACCTGGTATAAACCCTGGTGTCTGACTCAACACACCAGTCCTGAAATAGGATGCCCTGGATGTGTTTGAGTCTCCCAGCTACTGGGCTAAGGGCTTAGACACATAGGATTCTAGGAATAGTGCTGTGGGCAGTACAGTCAATAAGCCACTTAAATTATAGTCTGATTTTGTTTTTGAGATAAGGTCTTAGTATATAGCTCAGGCTAGACCTGAACTCACAGTCCCCCTGCCTGATCCCCAAATGCTAGGATTATAGATGTGCATTAACAAACCTTGTATAATTATTTAAATTCCTTTTGAGCTATGCCCTAACCCCACAGAAGGAGATCTTCTATGCACACCCCTATGCCTAATCTCGAGGCACCAGGAAACACAAAATGAGACACAGCTGGATTTGGGCTTCTCTCTCACCCCACTCTAAGCCATTACTTTGTCAATATTCTGTCTTTAAAAAGTACATGGGTACTTGTGTATGCGCGCACGCAGCAGAGGACATCGGATCCCTTAGAGCTGGAGTTACAGGTGGTTGTGAGCTACTGTGGGCGCTGGGAACTGCATCTGGGTCTTCTGGAAGAGAGAGAAATACTCTTAACTGCTGAGCTACCTCTCCAGGCTCTCAGTTCCCTGACTTGAGGATTTATCTACACTCAACTCGGCAGACTTTAGTCCAAGAAGTCTGAGGGGGCGTTGGGGGTCGGGGGAGGGAAGGCTATGAGGTTCCTTTTGAGCTGTAAGAATTTCCAGTTTGCTTTGTCCAGCCACCAGGTTAAAGTCTCATGTTTAGGTGGCAGCAGAGCCAAAAAAAAATTATGGTCTCGACTGGGTGAGATGGCTCACACCTTTGATCCCAGCATTTGGGGAACAGAGGAAGTGGAACCTCAGTGACCTCAAGGACAATAAGGTGGATGTAGCTAGTTCAAGACCAGCCAGGACTATGTAGTAAGACCTTGTCTCCAAAAACAAGTTATATAAACCTCTATACACAAACATATATAACCTGTTTTTAATTTCTTTTCTTGAGACAAGGTAGGTAAATTCAAGCTCTTCCTGCCTTGGTCTTCTGAATGCCTAAGGTTACAGGCGTACACTAGCCAGCCTGGCTAGCGAGAGGCAGCTTCTGACTTGAGCTATTACAAAGTCCTGATGTGACATGAAGCAGGTAGGGACCCTTCTGTGCTGCTGACTTAGCTCGTGCTGGGGGCTCGTCACGGTTTCACTACCCAGGCAGAGGTTACTGGGGGTTTTAAAATGACAGTGGCTTTTCAGATGGGCTCATCATTCATTCAGAGAACCCCAATGTATTGCTGTGTGTTTGACTTCCTCTCGCTGGGACACATGGGTGTGACTCTAGAAGCAAGGACTCTATGGCCACCGTTGGAAAAGCTGATTGAACACATGGACTGGCTGGCTGCATGGGCACAAATGAGCCAACAATGCCACTTGTCACGTGTTCTGGTCCTTGGATCCAAGAAACATTCTTCTGGCACCAGAATGGGCCCATTTCTAATGCAGATAACTCTTTTACCCCAGTGTGGAGGTCACATGTCATAGCAGTCATCTGGGTCTCTGGGAGTTTTTGGAGTGCTCACTGAGGACAGAGTAGGGCAGGAAGAAGAATGATTCACAGTGATCAAACATTAGTTTTGCAACCCATTACCCAGCAAAGCTGAGCCAGGCCCCATGGGGACAGGCGCTAAGAAGTGCTCGCTGGCTGCCACCTATGTGTTACTACAGATAAAGAAGCCACCTCCCTGCTCCACCCTACGGATCACAAGGTCACTTAATTCAGGGGTCCATTTGGGGGATGCAAAGTGCAGTCCGCCTGCTTGTGTCCAGGCAGGGTACCTTCTGTCCTCATCCTGTCTGCATGGGGGCAAGAGTGGGAGGGTGGTGATAGGGACTGTGGCATAGCCAGTGCTCCCCTTTCTCCTTTGCCCCGTTCCTCGATGCTTTAAGGAACCTGCCTGCTTCGGGAGTCCAAGCCTGGAAATGCCCAGGGATGGTGCGTTAGCGCTGTGATCTGTCAAGACTGATGGCAGAGGGCACGCCCGGTCAATCACCCTCGGTCCTGATTGCTCCAAGCATCTCTGGGGCAGGCGCTGCGTAACGACTGTTAGTAATAAATACGAAGAATCTGACACCGAGCCGAGTTCACTTCCTGACAGGAGCAAGTGGGTCTGATCCTGTGGGCCTGTTGGGTAAGTCCCACACAGAACCATCTTGTTCTGGTTCAGTAGGATGCAGAAGCAGGCAGACGGGGAAGGAGCCACTTTTAGTTCCTTTATATTTGCTCCTCTTGGGGCCTTGCCTAGGTTTGACAGGAGGTGACCCAAGTGACATGGCACAAGAAGTTCACTCTGGGGATGTAGTGTTGCTGTTCACACCAGCTCCGTTCCAGCGCATGACAGGGTGGGTGTGAACCTGGTGACAGTAGCCTAAGAAGAATGTCCCCGGAACAGCTGGGCCCCTGGCACCATATTCTTTTTTTTCAACTCTGGTGCTCCCCGGCTTGGGAAGGTGGACAGAGGCCCTGGGCTGGCATCCAGGTCAGAAAGTAAAGGCACTAGCTCAGCTTCAGACTTCCAAGGAGAATTGTCACCCTGGGGAGTAGCCTTGGCTGACCGAATCGCTGAGCTGGAGCACCAAAGCGTAGCCTGAGCCGCAACGGGGTATGTGGTGGTGGTGGTGGTGGTGGTGGGGGCTTCTTCTCAGAAGGCTCAGAGCTCAGGGTGGGGCTGGGGGTTGGAACCCTTTTTGGGAAAGTTGGCTGTGTGAAACTTCAAAAACAGAAAACCAAAAGACCCAAATGACTGCCTAATTAACAAGCAGTTAGGGGACCCGTCAAACTGCCGGAAGCGCAGGTGGAAACCGGCTGCTCCTGTGTTCTTCCCAGTAGTGGACTCAGATATCAGTCTAGTTTGGAATCCAGAGAAGTTTGGATGTCCAAACTTCTCTGTGGATGTGCAAAGGAGAAAATGCAAAGGACTGAGGAGGGGGGAAAAAAGAACAGATGTAAAATGTCCCCTCTCCAAGCTCCCAGTGACAAGAAGCCTCTCTAAGGACGTGACGGGTGAGGAAGAGGATACTGGGCAAGATAGGTTGGCCATGTGGCTGTTTTTCTGTGGACCTGAGCTTGCTCATGGCTGACCCTGGTCTGCCTGTATGCCAGGGGCATGGGGAGAACTCATCATGCATGCAAACATAGGTGGAGTCACAAAGAGACACGATGGCCTTTAGCTTTTGTCACTGGAGAGACCTATAAGGACCTGGTGTGCCACGGTAGGAAGTGTCACAGAAGGGTAACAAGGATTTACATTCTGACGTGCGTGGCGTTGGCTTGGCTCTACTCTTTGTCCGGTACTGCTTCTTGAACAGTAGAAGGTGATGCTTCTGTCCCTAGAAACAAAAACCAAACACATCACACGGAGCCTCCTGTATATTTGTCGTCATGCCAACAGACTGTCGGGATGTGATACTCAAGCTCATGACTACCGTAGAACAGTGTCACTAACTGTGCCCAAGAATAATCTAGGAATCACAGTAATGAATATATGCCTGGTTATCAGAGTTTGTCAAATTCTATAACCAACAACAATCTTGCCTGTGATGGACCTAACCACTTTGGCCATGCAGGAAGCCACACATGGCAGCAGACAATGGCGGGTCCTGGGTTGGGACAAAGGACAACTCTCAAGAGTCAGTTCTCTCTTTCACCTTAGGTTCAGGGATCAGACAGGCAATCTGAATTCACTGGAATATTCTAGTCAAACGCTCTACTGCTGAGCCGTGGGTCCCAGCTCCCAAGTGAAGAATTCTAGGCCAGCATCTCACCACTCAGCAATATCCTCAGGCCTCTTTTTACTTTCCAGTTTTGAAAGAGTTGAAGTTGTTGAATTCATCTTGTGGAATGCAGTTTACACCCAACTTTCAACTTTTCTGTCTTAGACTCCAGAAGAGTTGGGCGGAGGAGCATGTGCCACCAGCCGCAGCTCCGGAGATGGGCTGAACATTCTCACATCCTGTTTCTCCAGTGACGCTTGTTCACTTTCTGGCCAGTGTGGCCTTGTGTGTGGGTGTGTATGTGCATGTGTGCATACATTTGTGTGTATGTACACATGCCTGAAGGCACGTGTATGTGTGGGTTGAAGGTGGTGGTAGTTCAGTGTTAAGACACTGGCTTCTTATCCAGAGGACCCAAGTTCCAGGTTCCAGAACCCACATGTCAGATCACAACTGTGCCCACACTCAGAAAATTAAAAACAAAAACAAAACAAAACAAAAACAAAGAACTTCAAAAAACAAAGTTAGTAACCCAGAAGGGCACTAAAGTAATGGAGATGCAGGTTACTTATCAAGGTGGGGGTTTTTATAATATTCAATTTTTTTTTTTTTTGTTTGGCTATGGGGTGGCCTCCAATTCTTAATCTTCCTGTCTCTGCCTCCTACATGCTGGGTTCACTGTGTACACCGCCTGGCAAATGGCTGAGGATTTGAAAGGTAACAACAAACGGTTTAATTCTCTACAACATACACCCAGGCTTTAGGCTTGAAGGTGACTTAGGAATAAGAAGAGTTGAGGAGGCAGCACATCAGAGGTCCTGCTTTTTAGGGGAGAAACCACTGTGAGTAAGTCCCCCGGGGGGGCTCACCTTCTTCTTCCCAGCCCTCAGCCACACCAGCCAGCTCATAGTGTTTCTTCCGAAGCTCTCCTAGTTTCTGACGCTCCTTCTGCAGGTCAGTTTCCAGCTCCAGCACCCTAACCTGTTGGAAGATGGTGCGAGAGGTTCTTACATTTCTTTGGTTTAATTTAGTTAAAAAACAAAAGCTAGGGGCTGGAGAGATGGCTCAGCGGTTAAGAGCACTGACTGCTCTTCCAGAGGTCCTGAGTTCAAATCCCAGCAACCACATGGTGGCTCACAACCATCCATAATGAGATTGGATGCCCTATTCTGGTGTGTCCAAAGACAGCTACAGCAGTGTAAAAAAATAAATAAAAAAAAAAAAAAAAAAAAAAGGAAAAAAAAAAAGCTAGTATCAAACTCATGTGGAATGTTCTACAGATGAGCTATGCTCCCACCACTGTTCTTTTCCTTTGTATCTATCTCTCTGTCTCTGTTTTTCCTTGAGGATTGAATCCAGGGCCTCATATAAGATAGGCAGGTGCTCTACCACTGAGCCACGCCCCCAGCCCCTCACTGGAGGATTCTAGGCAGGTGCTCTACCACTGACCCACGCCCCCAGCCCCTCACTGGGGGATTCTAGGCAGGTGCTCTACCACTGAGCCACGCCCCCAGCCCCTCACTGGGGGATTCTAGGCAGGGGCTCTACCACTGAGCCATGCCCCCAGCCCCTCACTGGGGGATTCAAGATAGGCAAGTGCTCAACTGCGGAGTCACCCCCAGCATATTAGTGGTAGATTCTAGGCAGGATTACAGGTATACAGTGTGGCATTTAGGCTTCTCTTTCTTTCTTTTCCATCTTTAATTATGTGTATATGTGTCAGGTTTGGGGTGGGGGGGGGGTTGACACACATATGCAAGTGAGTGGAGGTGCCCACTGAGGCCAGAAGGCATTGGATCCTCTAGAACCGGGGATACAGCTTGTTGTGAGCAAGTGCTCTCAACTGCTGAGCCACCTCTGCTGTTCTTTCTAACAGAGTCTTGCCATCACTGGCCTCCAACTCATGTCAGCTCTCCTGCCTCAGCTTCCCAAGTGCTGGGATTATTACTTGCCTCCCCACACCTGGCTTCTTCCTGTGGGAAGGAGATGCAAGGCTGATGTGCAGGCAATGGGGACAGGCCGACCTTAGATGTGCCAATGGTGTTCTTACCTGGGAATCCATCTCCTGGCGCTTGATCTGGGTTAGTGTCATGCTTGAGAAGTCCATACTGTCTGCAAGGATGGATACAGGGAGAGTCAGTCAAATAAGATCTGTGGCTGTCACTCAACTAGGACAAGAGAAATTCCCCACTGCAGTGCTTGGCCTGTCCTTTGGCACCATAATGGTTGTGAGCTGAACTGTCCCCACAGGCTCACGCTTGGAGAACCTGTACCCCAGCTGCTGGCGAAATGTTGGGAGGCTGTGGGATGTTTAGAAGGTTGGGCCTGGCAGGCAGAAGTAGGTCCCTAGAGGCATGGCTTCCTTTGGGTACAGTGCTTCCTAGTGTGTACAGGGGCAGGTCATGTATGTTTATGTGTGTGGTTATTATTATTATGTGTATGGTTATTATGGGAGGCCAAAGGTGACTACTGTACTTTTTTTTAAAAAATTATTTTATTTATATATTTTTTCCACCGTGTTTTTTCAGACAGGATCTCTCATAGGCCTAAAGCTTACCAAGTTGGGTAGGCTCCCTAACCAGTGAGCTTTGGGGATCCACTTGTCTCCACCTTCCCAGCACTGAGAGGACGTGGATGTGCCACCACATCTGGCTTTTGTATGTGGGTTCTGGGATTGATGTTTGCATAGCAACCACTTGACTGTTCTGTCTCACGCTCCTGCCTCCAACTGAGGTCAACCTTAGTGACAAACTCTCTCCCAGTGAGACAGTTCACCAGCCCCTAGATGAGTGTATCATCACCATGGAAATGTGCCTTGGGGTGAGTTGGTGGGGGAGTTTCTAGAGTAAATTAATTGAGGTGGGGAAACCCCACCCTAGACATGGGCAGGAGTATTTCACGTGTTGGATCCTTGTCTGAATTAAAAGGAGAAAGTGGAAACTAGGGGTGATCACCTGTAAGGCCAGCACTCTAGTAGCAGAGGCAGGAGGATCTCTGTGAGTTTGAGGACATCCTGATTATATAGTTCGTTCCAAGCCAGCAAGGGCTACACAGTGAGAACCCATGTCAACAAAAGACAGACAGACAAACAAACAAAAAGGGAGCAAGCAAAGTGGTGAGCTGAGCACCAGGGTTCACTGCTCTCTGCTTCCTGACTGCAGATGCCACGCGACCAGCCGCCTCACGCTCCAGACAGCCTGCCTTCCCATGAACTATGTACCCTTCAAATGTGAGCCTAAATAAATCTTGCATTAATGTGGGAAGCCATTGGGGCTGCTTGGCAGGAATCTGACATTGGCCAAGGACAAGGAATTGGGCTTTAGACAAGAATCTGACTTTGGGCCATGACAAGGAAGTAAGTTCAGGCAGGAGTCTATTTTTAGGCTAAAACAGAGAAGTAAATTCAGTCAGGAATCCTAGTCTTAGGCTAAAACAAAGAGGTAAGCCTCAGGCATGAATATGACTGTGGGAAGTAGGCTCAGATACTTTGTCATCCAGATGAGCCCTTAGGAACAGCAAGAGTGATCTGGGGTGATCTCGGGACTCTGTATATTGCCTTGTTTGTTCCTTGACTGTTTCTATTGTAATGTTGGCTCCTCAAACCTAGAACTGACCTAAATACTTGCATGTAATTAAAAGGGTTTAAAAGAAAAGTTGAATTAAAGGAACCTGCCTTCAGCCTCAGAACTGGCTGGGGTCACGCTGCAATTTTGTCTAACCGTCGTCTCTGTTCTTTTAATCCTCACTCCTGCGCTGGAGAACCTGTTGGCTGACTGAGCGGGCTTGGTCACATTAATTCTTTTAAAAACTTTATTGTATGTACATTGGTGTTTTGCCTGCATGGATGCCCTGTGTGAAGGAGTCAGATCCCCTGGAACTGAAGTGACAGACAGCTGTGAGCTGCCGGGTCCTCAGGAAGAGCAGCCAGTGTCTAACCACTGAGCCATCTCTCCAGCCCCTGATCATTATTACTTTTCACACGTTTGTTAGTATGTACATGTACATGCATGTGCCATGCTGTGAGAGTGGAGGCCAAAGAGTCAGTGTGGACACATCATGTGGGTCCCGAGCACGGAACTCAGGTCACCAGACGTGGCAGCAGTCACCCTTATCCTCTGAGCCATGGACCAGCCCAAATCTTTCCTTTGTAAAAGTTGCTTTTAGGTCTTTGGTCTGCTCACAATAAGGAAATAAATGACTAATCAATGGATACCCAAGGCCTGAGTCTCAGGGACAGCTAGACCTGTAGAGACTGTCCTCTGACTGAAGAGAAGTAGCTAAGGGGAAAAAATCCGCTTAACAGCCTGGCACTGTGGGAATTAAAACCCATGGTATTGTGAAGTCCTGCCTTAGGAGATGAACATGGATGGAATGAGACCAAAATGATAACCAGACCTTACACATGCTGAGAAGCACTCTGCTGACTGGGCAGGATCCCCAGCGGCCTATAGCCTAAGAGTGTGGCTACAGAGCTGGGTGAGGAGGTGAGCATCTTTAATCCCTGCACTCAGAAGGCAGAGGCAGGCAGATCTCTGAGTTCAAGGCTAGCCAGGGCTACATAGTGAGGTCCTTTTTTTTTTTTTTAAAGAATTATTTATTTTATGTACATGAGTAAACCATTGCTGTCTTCCGATACACCAGAAGAAGGCATCAGATCCCATGACAGATGGTTGTGAGCCACCATGTGGTTGGTGGGAATTGAACTCAGGACCTTTGGAAGGACAGTCAGTGCTCTTAACCACTAAGCCATCTCTCCAGCCCATGAGGAACTATCTTTAATTTAACATATACATATATTTATATATTTACATCTCCTCTCCCTCCCTCCCTCCCTCCCTCCCCTTCCCTCCCTGTGTGTGTGTGTGTGTGTGTGTGTGTAGAGAGAGAGAATCAACAGTGGAAGAGACCTGCACATATTAGTAAACTCATGTATGCTTACCTACATACACATACCACACACTAAAAACTAAACAAACAAAAAAGAATTAAAAACACAGAGCTAACTGAGATCACGGGGAAAGAGAAGCAGAGTGCGGAAGGCTACCTGTTTCCTCAATCTGAGATTTGCCGGAAATGGTTGAGGCCACCACAGCGGCTGTAGCCTGGTTCACTCCCCGAGAGGCCTGCTGGAGCTGGGTCAGATTGGCGCTGCCCTTGTTAGCTTTCACCTGTCGGGACAAAGGACATTTATGTTCACTGTACATCAGAAAAACCGAGGACTGGACCATGCAGCTGGCCTGATGGAGATTAGCAGACACCGTCTGTTGTCAGTTCTCAAAATCAGTGTTGCCTGTGGGACCAGCCCCGGAAGTATCTAAAAAGTGACCCCTGGAATACAAGTTGGGTTACCCTGTGTTCCAGCTTGCACAGTTATCTGCACGAACTTGTCCATGTTTGGGGAATAAAAGCCCTGGAATCCAAAGTAATAAGGAAGGAATAAAGACTAATCTTAGGTGAAGTTCTGGCCCAGCAGCGAAAGAACTCTAGTCAATGGCTTTCCACGAGGTTGAAATATGGCAGGCAGTACTTCACTTCAGAGACAAAGGAGGGACAGACATTGGTTATACCAAATCTAAGGGCTAAGTCAGGTGACGGATAGACTGGCCAGCAGCTCCATCACCAGAGACTTTGTTCTGAGACAACGTCTCACTATATAGCCTTGACTGGCCTGGAGCTTGCTTTAGAGACCAGACTGACCTCCGACTCAAAGAGGTCCACACAACATTGCTTCCTGAGTACAGGAATCAAAGGCATGGGCCAACGTGTCTGACTAACAGATAGCCTTTTCTTTCTTCCTTCCTTTCTTTTAAAATTATTTACTTATTTTTATTTTATGTACATTGGTGTTTTAACTGAATGTATGTTTTTGTAAGGGTGTCAGATCCCCTAGATCAGGAGTTAAAGACAGTTTTAAGTTGTCATGTGGGTACTGGGAATTGAACCCAGGCCCCCTGGAAGAGCAACCAGTGCTCTTAACCACTGACCCATCTTCTAGTTCCCAGATATCATTTTCTTGAAACAGGGTCTAACCATGTAGCCCTAGATGTATTTGAACTAACAGAGATTTGCTTGTCTCTGCTTCTTGAGTGTAAGTGCATGCACCGCCATGCCTAGTGAACAGACTGTCTTAATTATGGATATTAGGAATGGAACCCAATGCCATGTACTTGCTAGGCAGGTGCTCTACCACTGAGCCCCGCCCCCAGCCCCTCACTGGGGGATTCTAGGCAGGGGCTCTACCACTGAGCCCCGCCCCCAGCCCCTCACTGGGGGATTCTAGGCAGGGGCTCTACCACTGAGCCACGCCCCAGCTCCTCACTGGGGGATTCTAGGCAGGGGCTCTACCACTGAGCCATGACCCCAGCCCCTCACTGGGGGATTCTAGGCACTCTACCACTGAGCTATGGCAAATACTTTGACACTCAACTGTCCCCTCAGGCATCTTTTTTTTGTTTGTTTGTTTGTTTTTTTTTTTTGTTTTTCGAGACAGGGTTTCTCTGTGTAGTCCTGGCTGTCCTGGAACTCACTCTGTAGACCAGGCTGTCCTCGAACTCAGAAATCCGCCTGCGTCCGCCTCCCGAGTGCTGGAATTAAAGGCGTGCGGCACCACCACCCGGCAGCCCTCAGGCAATTTTAAATTACTTTTTATTATTTTCTTTATGTGGTGCTTATGTATAGGAGTGCATGTGGAAGCCAGAGAACAACTTGTGAGAATCATTTCACTCCACCAAGCAGGTTTCAGGGGCCAATCTTGGAACATCAAGTTTGGTAGCAAGTCCCTTTTCCTGACTGAGCCATCTCGCTGGCTCCTGTTTAAAATTTTTATTCTGAGCCAAAGTCTTATGAAGTTGCTCAGGCTGGCCCTAAACTCACTTTAATCCTGGGCTAGCCTTTAACTTTTAACACTCCTGCCTCATCTTCGGAAGTAGCTGGGATGACAGGCCCATGTCACCTGGTCCACTTGAATGCTCCTCGATGACATCATCACTCCTTGGACCTGGCATGCCTGGGACCCTGTAAATCTACCTAACAATAGTGACAGAGCAGTAAGGCAAGCAGGTGATGAGCTGGGGGAGGGGCCCCCTGCTGGCACATATTAGGGTTTTTTGTTTGTTTGGCTTTTCTTTTTTTTTTTTTCTTTGAGACAGGGTTTCTCTGTGTAGCTCTGGCTGTCCTGGAACTCACTCTGTAGACCAGGCTGGCCTCAAACTCAGAAATCCGAAGCCGTGCGCCACCACTGCCCGGCTTGTTTGGCTTTTCAAGACAAGGTTTCTCGATGTAGCCCTGGCTCCCCCGTCTCCTCTGTAGTTCAGGCTGGGCTTGAACTCAGAGCCTCCTGCCTCTGCCTGTGCCCAAGCACAGGGATTAAATGTGTCACCACCACCATCCCACTCTTCTTTTTCTCAAGAACCTTTGCAGGGCTTTAGACTACAGCCACCATCCGGCATACATCGGGCTTTTACAAGAGGGTGCTATGGAACCCTGGGGAGGGAGGACTTTTTATTCAGGACAGCACAGAGCAGGGCTGTGGGTTGTCACCTGTCCCTGAGCTCAGTTCCCTGGCTCAAGTGCAGAAGCAGCCAACCCTACCTTGGATGCAGCCACGAGCTGTGCTGTGCTGGCAGCAATCTCACGTGAGCACACCATCAGCTCCTCGAACTTCCCTTTGCCTTGGACCACAAGATCGGCAGCATCCCTGAGATGACACACGAAGGACGTTGTTACAGAGAACAGAAAGCATCACAGTCCCACCTCCAGCCAGCCCCTACGTCCCTGGCTAGACGGAAAGGAAGGGCCGCCTGCCTCCCTGCCCCTAACTTGTCCTGGGAGCTCTGGGTCCCCTTCAAACTTCCAGTACTATTCACTTCTTTTTGTATTTATTTGTGGATGAATAATACATATGTGTGTGTGAGAGAGAGAGCCTGTGGAAGCCACAGGGCCAACACAGACGATAGGGTCTCAGTATAGAACCCTAGTTGGCCCCAAGCTCAGAGTACCAACTGTCTTTGTTTTCTGAGTGCTAGTAGTATTGAAGGCATGTACCCCATGCCTGCCTCCAGCTTATGTTTTGAGAAATGACTAATATCCTTTTTTTTGTTGTTGTTGAGACAAGTTCTCACTATGTAGTACTGCCTGTCCTGGAGCTCACTCTACAGACAAGGTTGGCCTTGAACTCATAGAGATCCGCCTGCCTCTGGCTCCAGAGTGGTTGGGAATGGGACTTGGAACTGATAGATTAGGCCTAGGCTGGCCAGTCAGTAAATTGCAGGCATCTTCCTGCCTCTTTTAAAAACTTTTTGGGTCAAGCGTGGTGTCACAGGCCTTTGATCTTAGGACTTGGGAGACAGAGGCTAGTTGTAGATCTCTTCAAGGCCAGCCTGGTCTACATAGTGAGTTCCAGGCTAGTTCTAGGGCTATGAGAGACCCTGTCTTAAAAACCAAAACAGACCAGACCAACGCCAACAAACATTTTGGAATGACTGGGGGTTGGACCAAGGGGCACAGGCAAGCTCAACAAATGCTCTACTACTCACCTAGCCCAGCACACTTTAAACTCTGTTATTACAGAGTATATTACACAGGGTCCTGGATAGCCCAGGGTGGCCTCTACCTTGCTCTCCTTCTGCCTCAGTCTCCCAAGTGCTGGGATTTCAGGTGGGTACCACTGCCTGATTATGAGAAGGATACTTTATCTCTTAGCAAGCAGCTGTCTGGGATGGATCAATGGAATGGGGAAGGGGATGTGGGGACCCTTGGAGCCAGACACTTACACCATGACGGTAGCTCCCCAACCAACAGCTTTGGAGGCAGAGATAAGCCCTTCTGTCCACCGAGAATTCTTGGCATAAAATTCTTTAGGGGATGCGGTACCCTACAGAAGCAAAAATATAACAGCTTGGTTAGTTTCTATTTTATCTTATTTTACTTTATTTCAAGACAGGGTTTCTCTGTGTGTCCCTGGCTGTCCTGGAACTCACTCTATAGACCAGACTGGCCTCAAATTCAGAGATCCACCCACCTCTGCCTCCCAAGAGCTGTGATTAAAGATGTGAGGCACCACTGCTCTGCCTTATGTGAGTTTTTAAACCGATTTCTCATGAGTGTTTTATCTGCATGTACATGTGCCATGTGTGTACAGAGGTAGGAGGAGGGGGTCAAATCCCGTGGATGTGGAGTTCCAAATGATTGTAAGAGACCACCTTAGTGCTGGGATTGAACCCTGGTCCTCTGCAACAAGAACAGTATTCCCTTAACCAACGGACCATCTCTCCAGCCTGCAGTATGTTTTGAGAGAGGGTTTATTACGTAGCTTAAACTATCCTCCCATTCTTGGTTTTCTGCCTTAGCATTATAAGCATGTAACAACATTCCCAGATTTTTTTATTTTAATTATGTTTATTGAGGGGTTCCTCCAGGTGTCAGACAGGGAAGTGAAGCGCTTGAAGAGATAAGAATGAGAACCCAGGGGACTAGAGAGATGGCTCAGCGGTTAAGAGCACTGGTTGCTCTTCCAGAGGTCCTGAGTTCAATTCCCAGCAACCACATGGTGGCTTACAACCATCTGTAATGGAATCGAATGCTCTCTTCTGGTGGTATGTCTGAAGACAGCTACAGTGTACTCATAATAAATAAAATAAATAAATCTAAAAAAAAAAAAAAAAAAAAAAGAATTTGAACCCAGTGCAGACTGACTCTATCAACCTGGATCAGACTTCAGGGAGTCTAAGCCAGGTGGTTCATTGTCAGCATGTTTAAAACACAGTATAATTTGGGAAAAGGTTTCCAGGCAACAACCAGTCCAATCAGTCCAATCCCAGAGACACAGGACAGCTAAAGGTGTGACTACACAGAAACTCCTTTACAAAGCACATGTGACCCTGAGGGTGGGTTCTATGGCTAAGAGGCCTAGAATCTAGTGTGGCCTCTAACCAATAGCATAGAGTTCAGCAGGCCATAAAGTACATGTGACATCTGCCCTAAGGATGGGTAATGGTCCAGGGAGGGAAGAGTTATCCAGCGATAACCATTCTGGAGAATTTGGGTGAGGACTTCCTGCAGAGATAGCAGAAAAGTCACCAGGTCATTAACAAAACCCACTCCTAGCTTTGTAGGTGGAATACAGGTATTTGATTTTTATCTTCTCCATTGAGGTGACACCCCTCAATGATTAACATGTCTGGTTCTCTACGTGCTTCTCTGTGAGCACAAGCACCCCTGTGCCCCCAAATTTACTTATATATTTTGTAAGTGTATGAGTGCCAGTGGATATGTCTAGGTCATGGTGCATGCATAAGGGCCACAGGACGGCTTGGAAGGAACTGGCTCTATCTTCCCACCATGTGTAACCTGGAGATTGAACTCCGCTTGTCAGGCATAGTGGCACACTTTTACCTGCTGAGCCATCTCACTGGCCCAATACCCAGCCATTAACAGCTAATTTCACAGAATGCCTACCAAGGGCTAAGTGCCTCTATTCTCACCTTCAGTATAAGAAAATGAAGATGCAAACAGGCAAATGAATGGGGGTAATGAATTAAAGTAAGTCCTCAGCTTTTACAAAAGATCCTTTTTTTGGGAGAGGAGACCTCCAGGAAGGGGGGGGGGGGGCAATGGCTGGAATGTAAATAAATAAAATAGTTAAAAAAAAAAAAAGATTTACTTTCGACATTTTTTTTTTTTTTTTTTTTTTGGTTTTTCGAGACAGGGTTTCTCTGTGTGGCTCTGGCTGTCCTGGAACTCACTCTGTGGACCAGGATGGCCTCGAACTCAGAAATCCGCCTGCCTCCCAAGTGCTGAGATTAAATTAGGTGTGCGCTACTTTCGACTTTTGATTGTGTGCATTTGTGTAAGAAACCACAGGTGCCTGGTGAGCCGGCTCCTAGTGCTGGAGCTATGGTACTTGTGAACTACCTGCAGTGTGTGCTGAGGGGTAGGGGTGGGAGGGGCTGGGGGAATGGAAACGGTGCAGGAGGTGGGGAACTAAACCCCCTCAGAAGACCAGCACTCATAAAGCTCTTGTTCTGAGACAGAGTCTGTATGTATAGACCAGGCTGGCCTTGAACTCTCGGAGAGCTGCTTGCCTCTGCCTTCCAATGATGGGGATAAACAACGTGTGATTTTAAGCAGAGTCTGGGGTGAGGGTCATGGTTGTATAGACGCTAGGCAGGGACTCTACCAACTGAGCTACACCCTCAACTCATGAAGGGAGTTTTGAGAGAAAGCCCAGGTATGCACCCCTGACTGAGATCAGACTGGAGAGTCTCCTGCCTCAGCGTCATGAGCACTTGAATTAAAGGGTTAAGTACCCACAGGTCTGGGAATCTATAGGGAACAGTCTCAGGTGTCTGAGGGATGACAGTACCAGGTTTATTCCTGCCATCTGCCCAATTTCCCAAAGTCTTCAGTCATTCCTGGAAGACCTAGACTCGCCATGTCAGTGGGGTTTCCAGAGCAGCTCTGTGTGGCCTCCGGGAGCTGGACTAGTACTAGAAGAGGCAGCTGCTAGGGGCCCTCAATTGCCCACAGTGTCTGAATGTCCTTAGAATGGGAGATCCACCGTGATGGAGTACAGCTGGAGCCCAGAACCAGCACACGTGGGAGACAGGGCTGACACCACATGCTTACCCTGCCGCTTTCCACTATCTCCTTCTGGAGGTCCTTGGAGGCCACAATGAGCACCTTGATGGCTTGCATCAGGCTGGTACAGGAACCAAGGATCCTAGTGAGAAGAAACGGTTGGTGATGCGGACACTAAGAAGAAAACCAGGGAGACCTTGAGTAGGATGGAGGGGCAGGAAAGGTGTTGGGATCGCTGGAGGATGCTGAAGCCAAGCCTTGGAGGAGGCTGGTGAGTGACACCTCCCTGCGGGCCTTGCTTACAGGCACCCTGCTTACCTCCTGCCACCCCAAGGCTCGCACTGACCTCTCGTTCACCTCCAACTTGACTCCCGTGTCTCCTGCCCGGGATTTACTGAGAATTTCCTGTTAAAGAGAAACATGGCTGATTTCCTTTCTTGTCTCTATGTGGATTACTGGGACCTGAGCTCAGGTTCCGTATACGCTAGGCGTGTACTCTGGCAAGCCATGACCTCAGCTCCTCCCTGGGGGATCTACGCAAGCACTCAACCACTGAGTCACATCCCCATCCCAACAAGCTCGGTCCCTGAATGTACCGTGAACCTGATCAGCCACCACTGCCGTGGTACAGTCTGGATCCAACAAGCTGTGGTGGCACAGAAAGCAGAATCTAGACATTTTCACCTCTATCCTTGTGAGTCAGAAGAACTCCAGATCTTTCATCTATCGGGATGGTAGACAGCTGGAGCAGACTGTTCTAGCCAGTAAGAGTCTTGACCTTGGCACTTAGGCTGTCGTACGTGAAACACACACCAGAGGTAGCTGCTACCAAATTCACAAGGTAGGTGCTTAGTAGCCAGTAAGCCTTCCATCAAAATAGCCATAGGAGACCTTCCCAAGGAGTCTCACTGAGCTTCTAGTGGGAAACCCTTTAACACCTATATGGCTTCCCCTAGCATTTATTATGACAGCGATGGGTAGCTTCAACTGTCAACTCAACAACCTAGATTCACTCAGCAAGTGAGTCTCAATGAGAGACTGTCTACATCAGGTCGGATTGTGGGCACATCTGTGGGAGGGAGGTGGGAAGACCCAGCCCACCGTGGGTGGCACCATTCCCTATGCAGTGAGTCCGGAACTGTGTGAACTGTGTAAGTCTAGAGGAGCTGAGCACAAGTGAGCAAGCAAGCAAATGTGTGTGCACTGTTACTCTCTGCTCTCAACTGTGGATGTGTGTGCACTGTTATTCTCTGCTCCCAACTGTAGATGGGATGTGAAAAGTTGCTTCAAGCTCTGGCCACACTGACTTCGGTGAAGTATCCTGAAACTGTAAGCAAAAGTAAACCCTTCTTTCCTAGGTTTCTTTTTATCAGAGCAGCAGAAATGAAAACTGAACCAGTGGCCATTCCAGACAGGTGAATGTAACTCACATTCATGTAATTACTATCAGATGGCCTAGAAATTAAACACCAGGTGGCCTGGCACCAAAATATCCTACCTCGGAGGAAACTGCTCATCTTAAAGGACCTTGTTTTCTTCCCTCTTTGATGCAATGATCTTGTTTTTGTGTTCTTTTCCTCTTCCTTTTTTTTTTTTGTGTTTGTTTGTTTTTCAAGACAGAATTTCTCTGTGTTGCCTTGGCTATTCTAGAACTCACTCTGTAGACCAGGATGGCCTCGAACCCAGAAATCCACCTGCCTCTGCCTCTCAAGTGCTAGAATTAAAGGTGTGCACAACTGTCCGTCTCTCTCTGTCTGTCTCCGTCTTTCTCTCTCTCTCCAATATCTCATGTAGCCCAGGCTAGCTTCAAATTTACTATATAGCTGAGGACAACGTTGAATTCCCGAACCTCCTGCCTTCACCTTCCAAGGGCTGAGATCACAGCTGTGCACCATCGCACTGGGCAATTCTGGCTTCTTTGACAGAGAAACCAAGACATTCCCAAGGCACAGCGCTGCTCTAGGTTAGCCACAGGAGTGTCACTGTGGGAAAGCCCACAGAATTCTCTTACCTCTATCCGGGTGGTGGCGGCTTCAATGGCAGCTGAAGTGGCTGCCATCTCCTTGTCCACCAGGTCACCCAGCTCTTCCTGCTTGATGTCTAACCCCCTGGGCAGCAGTTCCTGTGAGCAGTAACACAGAGGTTAAAAGGATACTTGGTCCTTCTCCTCTAGAGCCTTATCATAGGAACCTTCTATAACGCATCAGAGGCAGGGCCTGTGACAGAAACCACCTGGCACTTTCCATGATGTGAGAGTTTGAACCTCGTGTTCATCCCTTCTTGGCACATTCTCGGAACCATGGTGAGAAGGAACTAAACTGAAGCCATTTTGAGTAAAATTTCCATTTTGAAAAAGGGTCAAACTCTACCTGGATTGCATGTTGAGGGTTGGTCTTTTGCTGTGCTAAATTCTGGTTGCTCACAGAGACCTCATTTAGACTCAGGTGATGCTATGGGACCTACACCCCAAGTTATTCCAGATTGGTGAATAAAGATGCTGACAGCCAATAGCTGGGCAGAAGAGACACAGGTGGGGTTTTGGGTTCCTGGGCTTGGGATTGGAGGAGAAACAGATGGAAAAAAAAAGTGAAGAGGAGAAGGCACCATGGGGTAAGAGTCTTAAAATAATGGCCATGTTGGTTGGCTAATAGGAGTTAAGAGTAGCCCAGATGAAACATAGCAAATTATATAGTGGGATTATTGGCTGAGAATTAGACATAACAGCCATAGGATAGCTATCTGTCCAGCTCTTGTGCTGGTTAAGGCTTATTATAAATATAAAGGTTGTGTGTGTCTTTTATCTAGGAACTAAATGGTCAAAGGTGGGGTAGAAACCCTGGATTGGGATTAAATGCTTTTTATAACAATTGCACAGAATCCTCAGGGTCTCAAGGAGGGGTAAGAGAAAGGTTGATCCACCTGTGTGGGGGTGGGGAAGTCATCATCCATGCTGGGGGAAGACTGTGTAGTGAGGTTTCTGTGAGCTCACCCACATTCCTGTCTGTGACCCCTCACCCTGTTCTGTAAGGAAACACAATAAACTCATTGGTCTCCAGGATGACTTCAGTGGAAAGGGAAATTGGTTTGTCACTGGGACCTTAGACGGAGGGGGGCAAACATTGTTTCTATCTCCCTAGGGTGGGAATTCTCACATTCTGGTGTCCGTGACTGTTTTAGGTGTTATTTGCCAAGCCAGTCATCATACATAGAGACGGGTAACTATTCCCCCTTTGGATGATAACACAGCACGACGCCTTCACCAGGTCAGTGAACCAAACATGGCTAGAAAGTCCTTCTGAGGTCAGGCTTGCCTCGTGTGTTGACACGTGAGAGGCTGAGGCAGAGGCTTTGTGAGACCCTGTCTCAAAACACAATGAGGATGTCAGATGCTCTCAGCCCTAACTGTTTCTAGAATCAAGCTGGATACACAGACAGGACTGGGGGAGCATAACCGATTCCCGGGCAGTGCAGTACCACTCCTCTGAAATAAGAATCACTCCCTGGGAACTGCAGAGAGGATTCAGGGGGTAAGAGGGCTTGCCGCACAGTCATCAGTACTGAAGTTCGGATCCCAGCACCAGCATAAAGAGCATACCTAGCATCTGCACACGCCTGTGCGGGGCTGAGATCGGAGGTCTGTGGGGGTGGCCGGCTTTCAGTTTAGCAGAGAAAATTTGAGAGCTTGAGGGTTTGGCTCAGGGAGAGACCCAGCATCAAAGGAACAGAGAGCGTGACAGAGGACACGTGATGCCCTCTTGTGGCATTCATGTGCACACTGTCATATATGCGTACATGCACACACACACACACACACACACACACACACATTTTCTGGGTAGGCATGATGATGCATGCCTGCAACCCTAGTATGGGATGCAGGAGGACCAGCCATTTGTGCTTATTCTTGGCAACATGGCAAGTTCGAGGCTAGCCTGGACTATAAGAGACCATCTCAAAATCAGAAAACCAAACAGGGCAGGGGGTGTGGCTCAGTAGACTGCTTCTCTAACATGCATGAAGCCCGGGTTCCATCTCCACCTGTACCAGGTAGAGTGGTCTAGGCCTGAAACCCCAGCATCCAGAATGTGGAGACAAGAAGAAGTTCAAGGTCACATCCTTAGCTTCAAAGAGAACTCGAGGCCAGCCTGGGCTACCCGAGACCCTGTGTCAGACAACCACACAACAGAACAGCAAATGATATCACTAACAATACCTCGCCAATGGTCTTGATCTTGCTGAGGCAGTTCCTTATGGCTGTGATGTCAGCTTTTTCCATGGCCCCTTCTTCCTCTAGGGAGGACAGATAGGCCAGGGTTTCTCTGCCACACTGCCTACAGGCCTCCGTCAGAGCTGGAGACAGGAGAGACAGATCATTAAACGCCTCCTGTTTTCCTTGCTCTCAGGGGTATCCCCTCTGCTCTGGTACTCACAGTCAGCTGGCTCCGGTGGGGCCCGGAGGCTGGTGGCACTCCCCTGAATGATGGTGTCACTGGTCAAGTGGGCAAGCAGGGTTATGGAGTACAGAAGTTCACTAATATCTGCAGGGCACAGGAAGTAAAATGTTAGGCCTAGTGGTGGGTGCTGCTATTTTTCTTTATATTCTTTTTACTTTTACTATTCTTTCTCAGTGAGGGGATATCTGAATGCAGAAACCTCTGGAAGCCAGCAGAGGGCATCAAATCCATTTAACTGGAGTTTCAGTAAACAGCCTGAGATGAGATGGGTTCTGTAACTTGAACCCAGGTTCTCTTTACTAGTGAGTGCTCTTAACCACTAGGCCATATCTCCAGCTCCCTTGTGTAGATATTTGAAGCTGGCTTGGATGCCCCTGGTGACAGAGCCCAAGTCCTCCGTTCCTCTTACCTTCTGGGCAGGCCAGATACTGGCTGCGGTTCTTCTCCAGTTGCTCGAGGCAGCTGGAAACAGAGTTGACTTTGGAGAGAAGGTGATCTGAGGAAGACAGGGTAATGTCAGATCAAGGGCTCTCACGTTTTTTTCTCCATAAGCAGCTGGGTAAGCTGGCTGATCTACTGAGAGTCCCTGCCCCACATGCTTTTCCTTAAGGTAGGAAGGAGGGAGAGAAGAAGGGAGGAGAGAGGGAGGGAAGGAGGGAGGGAAGGAGGAAGGGAGAGACAGAGGAAAGGCAGGAGGGCTGCAGGCTGTGCTGGCTCTGATGTGATGTACACCATCTATTTGTTTTTCCTTTGAGACAGGGACTCATATAACCCAAGGATGGCCAAGGATGGTACTGAACTTCTGATCTTCCTGCCTCCCTCCTTGAAGTGGTGGGATAATAGGCATGTGCCATTATACCCAGTGTAGACAGTACTAGGACTAGAGCCCAAGGCTTTGTACATGCTATACAACACTCTAACAACTGAGCCATGTCCCCAGCCTTGTTTCTCACCACACTGCTGTCCTGACCACTAAGGGGCATGGCACACTGCAAGGTTTGACTCTTAAGTGTCTCTTACAAGGTCATGATATTATTATTGCTGTCGTTATTATTGAGAAGGGTCTCACTATACAGCTCTATCTGTTCTAGAACTCACAAAATCTGGGAGGCTATGGACATGTTGGAGGCGGAACCTTGGGAGGAAACAGGTCACAGGGGGAAGATCTTGGGAGTCTGTTCTCCCTGGCTAATTCCTGTCTTGCTCTTCGCTCTCTCCCCTCCAGCCTATACCACATGAAGCTGTTCATCCATACCTTCCTCTTCAGTGAGGACTGGAACCTTCTGAAACCATGAGCCACAGTGCCCCTTAAGTCACAATTACTCAAGCACTGTGCCACAGAACTTCCAATGTAACCGACCTAGAGAGTGGGCTTACCCCACGGGCTCCCGCATGTAGCTGGGCTGAGGACCCCTAAGTTATGTTTCCTGTGGGATTCAACACCAATCGGAAGTACCAGACAGCTGGGCCCGGCAGGCTGGCAGCCGGAAGTCTAACCTGTGGATCCTGCGCAGCTCACGAGGGCGGGCTCCTCCAGCTGGCTCAGGGCCTCCTGTATCTCACGCTCCGCAGCCTTCCTGGTCCCAGCCAAGAGGATTTTCCTCTGGTCCTTTACCTGCTGGCACATGGATTCCTAGGAAAAAAGCCAAGGAGGTGAGAGTCGGCCAGGCAGACCATAGTGAATCCTAAGCAGTATATACCTGGCACCACATGGATTCCTGGCCTCTCACTGTGGCCCTAGTGAGCTCCATGCTGGTCAGTTCCATGCAGAAAATAATACCTGACCTGGGTCCACAGACGTTCACAACGGACTGGAGGAAAATCTCGGATGGACCAGTGGCTTACTTCCATGACCAGGATGGAAGTCAGTTGCTTCCCGAGGATTGCTAACTTTATGCTCTTGAATAAGCTAAGCATAGATTAATAAAGCACACTTCTGGATGTGTCTGCGAGAGCATTTCTAGTGACAATTATAACCCAACATGGGTCCTCGGACAAAGCCACAAGCACTGTGCCACTGAGCCATCTCTCCAGGCCCTAGTTTATTTTATTTTACTAGACAGGGACTCATGTATCTCGGGTGGGCCTCAAACTTGGTATCAGAGGACTGAGGATCGCTTGAATGCCTGATTCTCCTTGTCTCTATTTCCTGAGCTGGGGTATCACAGATGTGTGCCAGCAGACTCAGTTGATGTGGTCTGGAGGCTGCACCCAGGGGCTCATGCACGCTGGACAATCGCTCTGCCCTCTGAGGTACATTCTCAGCCCGAACGCTTTTCTTGTACAAAAGCACTTGGCTTTAGGAACTGTGTCCACAGGAGACCTTGGCAATCAGGCCAAGTGGCTTTGAACCCTTCACAGCACATCTCTGGCCTCCATAGTGTCCCCAGTGGCTATATGTCACTTGCCTGGGCACCAGCCAGTTTGATCTGGGTGCTTTCCAGCTGGTCTCGGAGGGCTGATAACTCTTCTTCTCTCTGAGTGGCAGCGGTCGCCAAGCTGCCTTGCTCCTTCTCCAACTCGGCGATCTGCGCCAGCCATTTCGTTTCTGACTGCAGAGGTCACCATGTGGAAACAGGGAGAAACTGAGGAAATTAAACAGTCCCCTCCCTGGAACTTCAGACCCACTTCCTGGCTCGTGGCAGGAGGAAGTGATATGTGTCTCCATGCTTATCACTGCTTCCAGGAGTACGTGTGGATTACAGCTGGGGCCAGAGGGCTCGGGGGAGGGGCTGAGGCACCAGAGGGAGGAGCAGGGAGGGGCTCACCTGGGCAGAGGTTTCCAGGCTGCCGTGGAGGACCTGCAGCTCCTGTCTGCTGGTGGCCAGTTCGTGCTTCAGGTTTTCTAGAACATCCTGTTGCTCTTGAGTCTAAAACAGAGGCAAAAATAGAAGCACTGTGAGCTGGGAACTCATGAGAAGGAATACACATATGTATATGTGTGTGTTTTCCACACTACTGACTGAGGTTGCACACTCCACTAGCTCTAAGTTGTTAACTGTGTGGGTAACAGGCAGGCTGGAGGGAGTGGATAACCCTGTCCTCACCAACAGCTTCACTTTTCCTAGTAAAAATGTAACAAATAATAATAATTGATTATATATATATATAAAGACATATATAATTTCCTTCTTTCCTGTTTGATTGATTGATTGACTGAGATAGGGTTTCTCTCTGTAGCCCTGGATGTCCTAGAACTCACTCAGCTGTCCTACAACTCTGTAGACTAGGCTGGCCTCAAATTCAGAGATCCACCTGTCTCTGGCTGAGATTAAAGGCATGGGCCACCACTGCCTGGCACCCCTCTTCTTTGCCTGGTCCCCTGTTCTTCCTTGAGGCAGGGTTTCAAGTAGCCCAGGCTGGCCTTGAATTTGCTAGATAGCCAAGGATGACCCTGAACTTCTGTTCCCCTTGCCTCCACCTCCCAAGTGCTGGGATCACAGACTTGTACTGCCATGCCTGGGTCATGTGGTAAGAGATGGACCCCAGGGCCTCCGAGGTGAGCCTCCTGCTACATAAGAACTCCACCAACTGGGCGGCATGCCCAGTCCCCAGCATCTGCTCTTCTGTGCAGCCTCCAAAGGCCCCCTGAGAACTCCCCATGGAGCGTAGGATGAAGCCCTCTGGGCCAAGTCTGCCTCCAAGCCTGTTTCCAGGTGTTCAGATGACTGAAGCTCAAAGGGTGTGGGGCTGAGTTGGATGATGAGCCCCCAGACCCGCGGGGTACCAGAAGAGAACCTAAACCCACTTCAACGTGCATGATGTTGCAGGTGCAAACACACACATAGATACACACACACAGACACACATAGACACACACACAGACACACATAGATACACACACAGAGACACACAGACAGACACACACACAGAGACACACACACACAGACACACAGAGACACACACACACAGACACACAGAGACACACATACACACATAGATACACACACAGAGACACACAGACAGACACACACAGACACACAGAGACACACACACACAGACACACAGAGACACACACACA